CACACACACACACACCCACACACACACACACACACACACACAGAGAGAGAGAGAGAGAGGTAAAGGATAGAAGAATCAACTCCATGAGCATTATTAACACGGCTTACCTTCCTCTGTCTCCATATGTTTCCTGTGGCCTCAAAGAAACTATGCATTTTCTTCCCAATAATTTCCCCCTGCCCTCCCCCCACACTTTCTCTTTTCTTTTGCTTTCTTCCTACAGTTCCTGTTTGATTATGATTGGTTTTGTTTTTAGTTTTTTTCAAGACAGGGTTTTTCTGTGTAGTCCTGGCTGTCCCGGAACTCATTCCATAGACCAGCCTGACCTTGAATTCAGAGATCCACCTGCATCTGCTTCCTGAGTGTCGGGATTCAAGGGGTATGCCACCATGCTCTCCCCCTCCTTTCTCAATTTCAGTGTTTTATGTTTATATGCTATTCAAACACTAATATCAACCTACCCTTGCAACCTATAAATTATCTTAAATGTTGTAACATTTTATTATCCCTGAACATTCTTCACTATTTGTTCCCCTTTTCTAGTTGCCAGGCACACCTTTTCCACTAGGAGTGAGATACAGTAAGAAGGGGCAATGGTGTCTGCAAACACTACCCTCTGGTATAGGACAGCCCTTCTTCCTGCCATATACCCAGGCCACTGCTTTAGTCCAGCTGCTTTTAAAGTCTTCATACTGTTAGCTATAGAGCTTCATGAGAAGCCATACGGCTCTCTCAGATGTGGTTCCATGCCTCCCATTACTATAAACTAGGAAAGAATGCAGAGCCAGTATTCAGTAGTAAAATGTTTATTGCTGCTGAGCAACAAACAGTATCACTAAGCTACAAGACATTGTAGAAAAATGACTCACTGGCATTTAAAATAGTAACTGCTTTGCCAGCTTTTGTGGCAAAGAAGCACTTTCTAAACTCTTCCATCTATGTAACGCTGATGACTATTGGCCAGACCCAGAAATTTTCAAAAGCACTATGTAGACTTTACCAAGGGAGTGGCTTTACAAAGCATGGCCTGCAGGCCTAACAGTACCTGTCTTTGCGAATAAAGTTTTATTGGGACACAGACATTCCTGATGTCTGTGGCTTGGATATAGTGGCAGAGTTGAGGAATTGCCATATAGGTCACATGGCTTACAAAGCCTATAGTATTTACTAACTGGCCCCTCACAGAAGAACACTGGCAACCCATGTTTTTGGTAATGATTATTGAAATTCTTCTTTAGTAATAGCTACTTTTTTTTCTTTTTTCTTTTTTATCTGACTGTAACCACTGCCATAGACAGTTTCACCATGTAAAGTGGTGGATTCCAAAATTTCATGGCATGCTGAAGAGTGATTCAATCCTTTGTGCATGACTGAGTACTCATGGTTTTCCCTCATCTGCTTTGGCATGTCTATTATTGTCCTTGTTTGATGGGCATGTAGGCAGCCATGGTGGTGAGGCTTTACGGGTGGGGCTCTTTTGGGTATACCTAGAGGTAGCTAAAGAATGCTAAGAATGGGAGAAATCATGTCACCCAGGGCATAGTACCCAAAACCCAATGCCAAGTCTGAAAACGGACATGTGAGTAACATTATGTATGAGTGGCTTATATTAAGTGTATGCATATGCATATAGTTATGTTCATATAATAACTATTAATGAAAACAGAAGCCTTAAATGTGAAAAAGAGCAAGGCATGGTATAGAGAAGGGCTTGGAGGGAAGAAAGGAACGGGAGAACTATGTAATTCCATTATAATCTCAAAATTACAAGAAGTTTAAATAAGGAGTTGTCAAATCTAGTTACCCTTTTGTAAAATTTATAAAAATTAACTTGACATAAACTTATTCTTTAAAAAATGAGGGCATAATAAGGTAATTACACACATCACATGTATGATGTATGTATGTATGATGTCTGTATGTATGTATTATTCTCTGACGTTGAGGTAGCTATTTTAACCTCATTTCTCTGGTGACTCATTGAAAGATTCTCTTCCAAAAATTTATGCTACTCAATTTTCCTGTCCTTTGCAGAATGATCTCTTTCACATATTGGTGAAGAAAGGCTTTGCAGCAGTAGCAATCTAGCCCTGTCTAACTCCCATCTCTCTCTTGCAGCCTTTTCCTGATGCTGTTAGGGATGGAACTCAAACCAGGTCTCACACATGCTGGGAAAGAACTCTAGTGCTCAGCTCCATTCCCAGTCGTCTCCCCGAGTTAATGCTTTTTCCTCTCTAGGTGATAACATGTATAGGAGTCATCAGAGAAAATTGGAGCCTGCTTGCCTGCCATGGGGTGTGACTTCAACTTTGGCAATGTTAATAGGACTCTGAAAAGCAGGGATCCATAGCCCATCCCTTCTCCTCTCCCATAAACGTCTCTGTTTTTGCTCGTAGGTGTTCCAACCCCAAGCCAAGAAATTTTACGGCATACACTCAACACCCTGGTACGGGAGAGGAAAATCTACCCGACTCCAGACGGCTATTTCATTGTGACACCACAGACTTACTTCATCACTCCGTCCCTCATAAGAACTAACAGTAAGTGGTACCACTTGGATGAGAGGGTACCTGACAGGTCTCAGTGTACCTCTCCACAACCCGGAACCATAACGCCCTCTGCCTCAGGCTGTGTCAGGGAAAGAACATTACCCAGAAAGCACTGCGACTCTTGCCACTGTTGCCGAGAAGACGTGCACAGCATGCATGCCTCCACTCTGCAGAGGAAACCGGCCAAGGACTGCAAAGACCCTTACTGCCCTCCTCCACTATGCCAGGTGCCGCCCACTGAAAAAAGCAAAAGTACTATAAATTTCTCTTATAAGACAGAAACTCTCTCAAAGCCTAAAGATGGTGAAAAGCAGTCCAAAAAATTTGGCCTCAAGTTATTCCGGCTGAGTTTTAAGAAAGACAAGACCAAACAGCTGGCCAATTTTTCTGCCCAGTTTCCTCCTGAGGAGTGGCCCCTGAGAGACGAGGACACGCCAACGACCATCCCCCGGGAGGTGGAGATGGAGATCATACGGCGTATCAACCCGGACTTGACGGTGGAGAATGTCATGAGGCACACGGCACTGATGAAAAAGCTTGAAGAAGAAAAGGCACACCGGAGCAAAGCTGGGTCCTCTGCCCACCACAGTGGAAGGAGTAAAAAGAGCCGGACTCACCGAAAGTCCCACGGGAAGTCTCGGTCCCATAGCAAGACTCGAGTGTCCAAAGGAGATCCTTCGGATGGCTCCCATCTGGATATCCCAGGTGAGAGGGAGTATGAATTCTGCGACCCTCTAACCAGGGCCCCCAGGGAGGGCTGCTTCATCATTGAACACAAAGGAGACAACTTCATCATGCACAGCAACACGAACGTGATCGAGTCCCATTTCCCCATGACGCCAGAATGGGATGTGTCTGGTGAACTGGCCAAAAGGAGAACGGAGATGCCCTTTCCCGAACCTTCCCGGGGAAGCTCCCACTCCAAAGTGCACCGAAGCCACAGCCATACCCAGGACCGGAGGTCCAGGAATGAGAGATCCAACAAGGCCAAGGAGAGATCCAGGTCGATGGATAACTCCAAAGGCCCCCTGGGCGCTTCTTCTCTCGGGACTCCGGAAGACCTGGCAGAAGGCTGCAGCCAAGATGACCAGACCCCCAGCCAGTCCTACATTGACGACAGTACTTTAAGGCCTGCACATACTATTGGTCATCAAAGGGCTCATATTTCCCCTGCCAGCTATAAAGAGGTGTGCATTCCAGAAATAGTTGGTGGCAGCAAGGAACCTTCAAGTGCTTGTAGCATTTTGGAGCCAGGCAAAACCCCTGAGAGTATGCCATCCTATGGGGAACTCAGCCCCTGCCCAGCAAAAACAGCTGTGGATGACTATTTTCAGTGCAACACCTCTAGCGAGACTGTGCTTACTGCGCCATCACCTTTGGGGAAGAATAAAGAGGACCATGACACGTTGACCCTGGTGGAGGGGGTAAAAAAGCTGTCTCCGTCTGAGAGACAGACTCCCCATTCTTCCAGAGAACCTGTTGGGCACAAGGAGGAGTCACCAAAAGGGCCAGGTGGGGGCCCTGCTGCCTCTGGTGGTGTGTCAGAGGGAATGGCCAATGGCCGCCTTGTCCAGCACCATAGCGCAGAACCCAGCAGCCTGGACAAAAGGAAAGAAATATTCAGCAAAGACACACTGTTCAAACCTCTACACAGCACCTTGTCTGTAAACAGCTATCACAAGTCCAGCCTATCCCTCCTCAAATCTCACCCGAAGTCACCTGCTGACACACTGCCAGGCCGATGCGAAAAACTGGAACCTTCCCTTGGGACATCGGTGGCCCAAGCCATGCCTACGTCCCAGCGTCAGCAGGAGTCTGGGGGGAACCAGGAGGCTTCTTTTGACTATTACAATGTCTCCGATGATGATGACTCTGAGGAAGGGGCCAACAAAAACACAGAGGAGGAGAAAAATAGAGATGACGTGGGCACTATGCAGTGGCTCCTTGAGAGGGAGAAGGAAAGAGACTTGCAAAGGAAGTTTGAGAAGAATCTTACCCTCCTCACCCCAAAAGAAACTGATAGCAGCAGCAACCAGAGAGCCACCCATTCGGCCCGCCTGGACAGCATGGACAGCAGCAGCATCACCGTGGACAGTGGATTCAACTCCCCACGGTAGGGAGAGACGTCCCTCTGTATACACGTAGACCTGCCAGGGCCTGGGGCTTTATGCAGATAACCCACTTGAGTCTCAGACTGTGAATGAGGGCTGTGAGTTGTGTGACTTGTGTTGTTAACAGCCTGTTTCTAACTTCTTTTTCAGGAATTGAAAAAAAAAAATGTTTCTGCAGCTGTAGAGATCACCAATCTGGACTGGTGGGTTGGTCCCTGCCCTAAAGCTTGCATCAGTATAGCTCGACTAAGACCAACACCCTCAGGGGTTTCTTCTATTTGTATTGCCAACCAGGAGAAGGGATTTTTTTTAAGTCCTTCAAAAAAAAAAAAGTAATAGTAACTTTCTGAGTACAGTGAATACAGTTAGTGGGAAGAAAGGGGAGGGTAGTAAGTTGATGTCAGGATAATGGCCCCTCTAGTGAGAATATAGTAGTGGGCTTTACAATCTTTCCAAAGGATCTGAAATCTTGATACCACTTTAATTCCTACACTGTGTGTGGTCTGTTCTACTTGCTCAGATGTCTTCCTCTTCCGCCTGTGTGTGGATGGAGAAATGGAAGCTTGTTCTTTTCACAAAAGTTAGGGGCCTGTACTGTCTCAGAGCAAAACAGTTGCCTGCACTTTTTGTTTCTCCACCAGTAGAACTGACACGATGTCTGTTTGGACACTGTCATTTTGTAGTCTTGATAGTTCAGAGTGTGTAAAACCTGATGGTCCTCTCCAATGCACTGAAGTTGGGGTGACAAACACAAACCCAGGGACGTCACACTTCCTGTTTTTCTCCATAACACTTTCTTCTCCTTAAATGGCAACTCGGAACTTAAATCTTGCTTCTAAATTCTACTCCAGATTGGTGACTCTAAGACGCAGAAATGATACCAAGAGATGCCCCTCCCTCATCGTCTCTGACTCCCAAGATCTCATAGTATTTATAATCACAATAAGTACCTACATAGGTACTTCATATTTCATTTATGTTATTAAAAATTATAATTAATCTTACTGTGATCATTTCACCCTATTTCTGGGTAACTTGGGGACACATCATCCCAAAGTTAGACTTGGGATTATTATGTTTACTCCATAATTAGGTATTTGCTATTCCTTTTAAAGGACCATGTCTTGACTTGTTATTGTTGTTACTATTTTGATCATGTAACCTTCCCCCTGCCAAGTTAACACATAAACGGAAGTTCTAATGTCTAAGAGACATCTATCAGACCTGGTACTCTGGCCAAGTACATGGGAATCCAGGATCCCAGGTCTCTCCGTGGGCATTAACGAGCCTTAAGAAACCTTGGGGAGCAGTGGCCCTGATCTTTTTAAAGAAACTGTTTTGCTAACTTTTTCCCCTCCCCAATTAGATTTTATTTTCCAATTAGTTTTCTCTGTCCTTATCCACCTATATTCTTGTTCTATGCCTTTTCCTCTCTTGAAAATCCTAGCAGTAGGAACCAGATAATTGGAGGTCTGTGGTAAAAGTTCAAAGCCATTGCTTAGAGAAAAGATGGTTGGGCTTTATCCTCATTATTTCTCATCATATAGACTTCTCTATCTAGTGCTTTTCTCGTTATACTTTCAAGCCCTTCATGTTGCCCCCCTCAGCACCTGGACTTTAGCAGTAAATGGTGGTACTCCCAAGACTGTTATCAAGGAGATGTTGGGAGTGAGTGGGCTCTAACCCAAAACCCTTTATAATATTGAAAACTTTTGTTTGTTTAGGAGTAAAAAGAAGTATACATGAGACAGTTGAACAAATATCTTCAAAGAATGTATTATCTTGAAACATAGAATTTATAAGTAGGATTACTTCTAGAAGTTTTTTTCATTTTTAAATAAGGTACTAACAAGTTAAATGCTTTGTCATTGTAGAAGGTAACGTTCATTCTAAAGAGAGAGAGCCTTTATCCATTACCACAGGTCAGTCTATTAATACTTAATTGGATCTCCTTTCTGGAAACATGCAGATCTTCCAAAAATTTTAGGCAGGAAACCCATTCAAGAATCCCCAATTTTACTGTTTTATATTTAAGACCTTTTGGTTAGAAGCGGGGTGACAAATTTGTTTTCTATATACTTTAATAGGTTCACCAAGCTGCCTTTCTATGCATGAGAGAGAATAAAAGAGAATATTGGACTTCCTGAGTTTTCAACCTGAGTGGTATTGTAGTAAAATAAGACTGCCATGTAGATGTTGTTCCAATACTATGAAGAGTGTGAACTTTAAGTGGGCTATTTATGGGGAATCATCCCTTAAAATAGTTCATTAAGCAATTATGATTCTACCAAGAAAAATGTTTTTTTTTCTCTATATTTGAAGGAGTTAGTGTTTAACATCATGGTTAGCCATGTTTTCAGTCCTGTTTTTTGGAAACTAAAGAACATTAAACAAACAAACAGGATAAAAACTTGAACTGTGCTGTGAGAAGTCATATTGAAAATGAAAGTCTTGAAATTAAAAGATCACTGTTTCAAATTTGAGACTCCAAACCGACTGAGCAAGATCTACACAACTACCAGAGAGATGGCATGCTGCCTTGGGCATGTGCTTTGGAAACCCATGTATCGGAAAGTGGATGCATGGCAGAAGCACTTGGTGAATCTCTCCCACCTAGGAAGTCCTGAATAGCATTCTCTCTCTCTCTCTCTCTCTCTCTCTCTCTCTCTCTCTCTTCTGTCTGTCTGTCTTTCACTCTCTCTCTCTGAGACATGGTCTTTGTATATAGTCCTAGATGTCCTGGAACTCACTATGTAGACCAGGCTGGCCTCAAACTCACAGAGATCCACCTGCCTCTGCCTCCTGAGTGCTGGTATTAAAGGCCTGCACCATTGCTCTTGGCCTAAGTAGCTCATTTTAAAGGTTGCATTCTATTTGCTTTCTTTTCCAAATTAAATTTGAGAAGTATTTTTACTACCCAAAAAGCCATCTCTGTTAGCTTTTCATCAGTATATCTAGATGGCTCCATATGAATGTCACAAACAGTGCTCATGATTACAACTGTAATGAAATATGTTCTTAGCAGACACTGGACTACTGTGCATATTTATTCCTATGAATGCATTAGACATTGCTCAAAGGTGGTCAAAGGTGTCTTCCAAAGATATCTCTTAACTAACATGTCATATTGGAATCATTTATGTTTCTAGCTCCAAGAACACTATCTGGAATACAGCAGGCACTCAATAAATGTTAAGCTGATATCTCAAAACCTATTTTAAAAATAGGTCCTTTGGACATTACAATTAATTTTCCATAGAAAAATGCCATTAGTTATCATTAGATTCCCAAGCTGATCTACAATAGTTATTTAACTGAATCTATGATAGGTATGTAGTAGAAATAATACTTTCTGAGCTTTTTTAATGTGACAGTATATCAGTGTTTATTTCTTTTTAAACAATCACTCTGTAAGTAGGTAAATCACAGCACAATTCTCCCCACAGTAGACATGAGGAAGTTAGATACTGTTTAAAGTTATTATCATGGGCCAGATATCTCAGTGTGTAAAAGACACTTGCCACCAAGTCTGACATCTCAGGTTGATCCCCAGGGTCCATCCTAGGGAAGACCATAAATGACTCCCACGAATTGTCCTCTGACCTCTACACACATACCATAGTGCACACCCCACCTCCCCCACACTAAATAGATCATTTTTTTTAAATGTTGCTACAATGCTCTAAAACACAATGAGTGGAATGTGTCATAAAATCTTTGGGATTCAACTTGTTCTTTGCCCTTCATCCTTCTTCCACTGACCCCACCCACACCTCAGTCACAGCTCTGGAAAACTACTGGTGGGTTTTCTGGGGGAAGAGGTCAGGCAGGTGAGTAGGTAAGTCAGGTGTTTTCTAGCCTGAGAGGCATTTTGGAGTATTCTTTTGATGTGCCCATCTAAGCAGAAGCTTGGTGGAAAAGCTTGGCTGAGCTCTTTAAGTGCATTAGTCCTCTACATTCAGGAAGAGAATTGTGTTTTGTTATTGTTGTTTGTTTGTTTGATAGTGAACATGCTGCCTTTTAAAGACTTAATTCTTGGATTCTTGATGATGAAGACTCAAGTTGCTACAGGATCCAAGTTAAATATCATGTTGGAATTGGCGGCTAACGGAGGTGGTGTACTGACTGGTGGCTGGCATGATAGCTAGGTTTGGCTTAGACTAGGTATAGAGACCAACTGAATTTTGAATCTAGCCAGTGGGATACTTGGTAATGATTCTATTTTGGTAATGATTCTGGTTTCTCCGCTCTGTGTAAGTGGGTTCATTTCTTAAAGTCACTTTGAGGACCTTAAATGTGTTATCGTTCCCTTCCCTCTCAGCTTGCTGAGTGATCTTATTTCTGCTGTTGTCCTGTACTTTTCAAACATGAATGTTTTAAATCTCCTTTAGCAGTGGAATAGGTTCAAGTATTTCTGACTTGGAAAGCTGAAACAGAAATAATGAAGTTTTAAAATCACTTCATCCTTAAGAAATGAAAATATTTCCACCAAAGGGAGACAGGAATGAATGCAGCTTCACAAATAAATGGGAGAGGGGAGATATTCTTTATCTAATCACATAACTGTGTTCTAACTGAAGTGTTAAAATAGAGACAGAGGTATAAAGTATTAGAAGTAATTTCATTCCCATTCATGTGGCAAAGTAAGCTAGTGGCATGCCTGAAGTCCATCCACCAAATTAACATCCAATCAAAAGCAACAAAAAGAATGAACTCTTTCAGTTCAATTATGGAGTTTACTCGAGAGTCCTGATGCCTGTGAATTCTCAACTTTTGGGAAACCATCACACAGGTTTGAGTACGCATTGTTAAAGCCAGTGTGATGGCCCTCTGTCACATTACATTTTGAAGTCATTTTCTTGAAAGTAAAGATCAGGGGTAGCCATACATTAGGTAGTCAGAAACCCTTTACTGGGTGAGCTGCATTCATGTGTCACACTGTTCCCAGAGCCAGGGCTGGAAGAGCATAAGCAGATAATCAGTGGAGATGCATACTGAGAGGACATCACGAGCCAACAGAGGAAATCTGTTAGCTCTGTTATTTGACCTTCTTTAGGGGGCTCAGTGTATAATTGTTTATGTTTAAAGCAAAACCCAAACCAACACTTTTTGCTCTTTTAGCACTCGGGAGAGCCTGGCTTCCAACACATCAAGCATTGTTGAAAGCAACCGCCGTCAGAACCCTGCTTTGAGTCCGGCCCATGGCGGAGCTGGTCCAAACTTCAACTTCCGTGCAAGTACGGATGCCCCGACCAATGAAGCTGAGAAATTACAGAAACCTTCCAACTGCTTGCAAGCTTCTGTTACTAGTGTATGATTGTCCTTCTGCCTCAGATCTTCTGTCTCATTCGATACAGCAACGTTTACGACAATTGGGACTGATGTTTACATCTCTGCAAAGACAAACATCTCAAGCACAGCTTGGGGGATCACTTGAGCTGTGCTGCTAAGTAGGCTAGGGCAAAAAAAAAAAATCTTTATTTCAGAGTATTGCTTTCACATTTATGGCTCTGTAGCAACTGGATAGCAGTAGGGGAGATATGTATACTTCTGCTTCACTAACTATCTGAGCACACATAGGAAAGTCTAAACACTGTAAGTGGAACATGCATTTTTCAATGTCATGCAGTTGCCAATTCCATTTTGAAATGCCACAGATGTGTGTTGCTCCCAGCCTAAGGGGAATGGGGCCAAGGAACTAATCCTTGACAACTGCCCTCCCCCAAAAGCCAAGTCACCACAAAATGTAAATGTATGGGTGTCCATCGTGAGAGAAATTGATGCCAAACTGAGCAGAAGGGACCCCAGCCCTTTGTGTGTGAGTCCTTTAAACGCTAGTCATTTTTCACTGTGAGTTTTCATGACACTCTTGCAGGAGCCCATGGAAGCGTGTCTGGAAGTCCTTAGAGTCTTTTCAGCATTCTGTTTTCCAATGCACTCGATGCTTGTGTTGAGTTGTTTAACCTTCCTTCCATAATCACAAACAGGAATATAGGCCTTTGAAGTGGACAAAAGAAGGGAAATCCAGTCTCACTGGGGCACAGCACTGAGTGATGGAGAAGGTTGTGTGGATTTGGGGGAGGGATGGATCAGATACTGAAGAAGAATACCTTCCTCTTTGTGACACTTAGGATGAGCTATCTACTATAATAGATGCAGTGATTAGTTTGTTTGGAAGCAAAATGTTCTTTATGATACAAATGAAGAATGTGGCCTGAGGGTGTTATTCTTTCTAATGGAAGGGACATAAATCTATTTTATGTAGTTTTAAATAGAATGCCTAAATTAGGCTGTGGGAGATAACTTTTAGTGGTTGTAGGAAAGAGCAAATTTAGGGAGAGTTGAACTTCAGGCCTTTTATTCCTGGGAAGATATCTATAAAGAAAACCTTTAAAGTAATTTTTGATTAGAAATATTCATGGGTCCATATAATAAACAGCAGAGTGTCCTTGTTCTGCTGGTATGGCATATCCTTAATTTGTACTCAACCTAAAATTTTTCAGAATGACAATTATGCATACATGAACTATGCCAGAGTAATGTTTACAGATACTTTGTAACAATTTCAGGAGGCGTGTTGTAGGTGGATTGTGTGATCACTCACTCAGCATCTTTTAAAAAGATTTCTTCACACTCTGCTTTGGTTTACAATGTCACACTCAGTATCAGAAGGCTCCACAGCAGGGGACCACTAACCAATACACTTCAGTCCTACAGGAAAGGCACAGTTCAGAAGAAACATACACAGAAGAAGCTGTAAACCATAGGATTCCTACATCTGTAGGTACTGGAAAACCATCTGTACAAGGGTAACCTCTGATCCCAGTAGATGGTCTGACATGAAGTTTTATTCAGTTTAGTGTCAGGTGCTTTTTGGAGCCATGGATCACAAGTGAATTCATAAATAACTTAAAATCAATATCAAATTATTTTGGCGCAAGATTTCAGTGATGAGCATAAATCTGTGAGAGGTTTCCTTGTTAGGTTTAATAACAAGCAATGTGTTTCAGGAAACACAGTCATCTATGATCTAGTTGGACATGTGTATGCTCACACATTTTGCCTGCTATTTGGAAGTTGCAATAGGCTCCTCAACTTTGGTATAACAAATTACTTTTGTGTGCTTAGTATAGTGAAACTCAAGCACAGTTCTCAGTATACTGCTACATCATTGAAAGCTTAAGCCAGTTGGGTTTGAGTCTCATACCTTATTTCCTCCCAGGCATGCCTCAGTTACTCAAAAACCACATTGTTTATCTCATTACTTAAGTATGTCCAGAAAGAACAGCCATGTATCTGATATTCTACATAGTCTGTTTGCTTGAGGAGCTGTATACCATACAATTCCTAGATCTGGTCTGTCTAAAGTAATTTTTTTTCCAAAAGAACTGCTCTCAATTTTTTGGCATACTCAGTTCATTAATAATAGGACCGCTAAAACGATACGTTAGTCTCTGATAGACTTCTGAAAGTAGCCATTGAGAGAATCTCGTGCTGTGTGAGCAGGAAAGGACATAATTATGTTCAAGAGAAGCTTTAAAAGATGAATTTTTGATAGTTGACAAGAAATAGGTTTACAGAAGACATTATTCAAATGTACGCTATTTGCCTAATTACTATGGGGTACATGTCTAAAAAAGAAATATACAAAAGAACCTCCCTTAGACCAGCAGCCATTAGCATAGAATGGTGGACTTCAGAGCTGATATACCATGTGAAGAGATATTCCGTGGAGAAACACTCTTGTCTGAATCTAATCTGGATTCTTGAATGGAGGGACATCGGTGGCGGGAAGCACATGACAGATATGACAAGTACATGTGTCTAAGATGGTCTCATCCAGATGGTGAGACTCTTGACACCCAAAGCCTTGAGACCCTCCCCAGGCTTTGCCAATATTCTTCTCCATAGCTTTGTGTTACATGACTGCATGTCTAGTCTTAGAATTTATCAATGGAAAGGTTTACAAAACTGAATCTAGTTGAATCTCTGTGAGGTATTCAACTCTAAAGGGTCAACACATCTGTCGGCATTTTGCACACGTGTATGTATTATTATGATACAGCATATCACTTTATGGTAATTTTTATTTTTACATATAACTACCTCCATGAATCTGATGAAAGGCAGCAGTGTGTTCAAGTGTGTTCTTCAGAAAAGCAATGTTGAAAACATGCTTCGGCAGTAGGCCATGGCATTCCGTGTATGTCGGGTGACTTGCCCATTGGACTCATGACTTTCTCACTGCCGTGGTTTTCCTTTCACCACATTCGTTGGCTTCCAATCGTAAACCTGTTGTCTTCTTTCTCTCTCTCTTTTCTCCCCCATGAAAGCACATTTGATTTGTTACAAATGAATGAACATTTTAAAATTATTGTCTTCCCACTCCACCATCCTGCTACGAAGAGAGGAAGGAAGGGAAGGAAGGAAGGAAGGAAGGAAGGAAGGGAAAGAAAGAAAAGAAAAGAAAGAAAGAAAGAAAGAAAGAAAGAAAGAAAGAAAAAGAAAGGGAAAGAAAGAAAGGTTCTCTTTGGCAAAGAGCCACTTGGTAAACATTTGGAAATTTATTAATTCCCATAGAAATTGTATTGGATTGCTAGGTTTTTTTTCAGTAACAAAAGATGTGAGAAATTTAAACTGCCAACTTGAAGCACTTTGGGCCTCTCCGCCTTTATCGTATGCTACCCTATGGAGCCAAACTTTCCTTTTATTAAAAGAGCTCTGCCATGCATTCTGAGATGTCTGTTAAATGAATTTGTATACCATTTGATATATTTTGCACATCTCAGGAGACGTTAATGAGTATGTGAAAGGGGGTGGATGTGCACCCAGTAGAGAAAACAAATTACAAGAGCTGAAAGGAGTAAAGCTGGGTAGAAATAATAAATGCCTATGTCTTTGATGTTGAAGAATCCAAGTTCAGGAAATATAAATTGAAAGGGAATCTGGAGGAGCAGTGATCTGAACACCAGCTGTTTCTAAATGTCCAAAAAAAAAAAAAAAAAAAAAAAAAAACCAACTCAACCAATATTGTTAAAATGCACATTTAAAATCTATTCCGGCCACCACCAAGACAGGAATGGTGGTCCATAGAGAAGCATTGTTAATGTTTTAGGTTGACACAGTTTTGCAAAGTTCTACCCAGGATTCACCACTTGTCACCACAAAGTGTACTTGAAGATGAGTTTGTAACTTGAATGAAAGGCATAATTCTCACAAAACCATAGCGATCATTTTTTGAGAAATATCTTACCTTTTGGAAGGGGTAGCATCCTGAGCTTATGCTAACAACCAACAAGTGGTAATGTTGCCCAGCTTATCTGGGGATCTCAAAGTGCTTCCGAAGCATTAGATGTACAATTACAGAGCAGGTCCTGTTTGAAATACCCATTCTTGACAGGGGCAAACAGACAGAGTGACTCAAGGTCACCCAGAAACACAGTGGCAGCTATCAATGACCTTTTTTCTAACTGTTTGATAGGCCATCGTGAGAAATCACTACAATGCTATTTTTCTGGTGTGTGCTAATAATAAAGAAAACAAATTCAGCTTGACACCTTGTCCATTTTCATTCAAAGAGTTATGGCTGTTTGGAATCTCAACACCTCAGCACACATGACTGGTATTGAGTTATGAACTGGGAGATGAACAAATCCACACAAAGGCCAATGCCGTTCAAGGCCATCCAGACATCCACCCCTGTTTACAGTTTCTTATTGGGTTTTCTGTAATTCCTGTAAACCCCATCATCAGGAACATTGGCTGCTCCAGGCAGTGGAAGGTGCTGAAACAGTTTTTCATTTTGTTTTGTTTTCCTTTAAAATATTTATAAGCACTCTTCACAGTGCTCAGCTGAGTAACATTTGCTACAGTATATCAAGCCCTGCTTCATAGATCTGGGAAGTTGGTTCAGTTCCAAGTGTTCTCTCAAATAATGAGACAGAAGGTCTTTGATACCTGCTTTCTCCATTCCCACAGGCCAGTCCCAGATCCAACTGGCAGTGTTGTGTCAGACCACTGTGGACCCAAGCAGAAGTGATTGCTTCCTTACCCACCTGTCCCCACCCAGTAACTCCCCACCCATTGTCAAAGCCATCCAATAATGTCCTGTGAGCGAGGGACTCCTTGGCCTGTGTGTAAGGCTTGGGGAAACTAGAAACAAGAAAAATGAATGCAAAAGCCATGGGAGGCATTGTTTTTCTAGTTAAATATGGCAGGGAAGGGATTGCTCTTGTCTGAGCTTTGCCAAGAAATATAAAACAATCAGTTGTCATTGCAACCTTCTCAGAAGGTGTCTTAGTATTAATGATACAACTG